ATATCCACCCCTTAGTCCTCTCTTTCCCAGAGCCCTAGCCAACCCAAATATATATACACCCACACTTTATGGATTTTTGGAATTTAGATCCATCTTTCCAAAATATACTTTTCTTGTGGAATTTTCTCTGGGCATTGAGATCCCTGGGAGAGGGATGGAGGGGTGGATAAAGGCACGAGTATTGTGATAGCCACCTGCAAAAAGCAGCAAGGGGAAGGCATGTGATGGCAAACATCCAACTCATGCTCTTGGTCTAGCTGAAATGTCTGCCTCCATGCCTCAGGACCACCAGACTTATTTGCAGGAGGGGAGAGAACGTTTTCACGTGCATGGTTTTAAATGTATCCCTTGCATTTTATTGTGCAAGATCCTTTGCAGGTTTTAGCTGAAAATCTGGATATAGCCATCTTGCTGTGGGAAACAAAGACAAGATGGCACCCACCCATTCTATGCGTCGAATCCTTACTTCAATATTGCCAATGAGAGCATGTTCCCCGCTGGGGTCTTCAGGCTAGCTTAGGGAGCACAGGCAAGGCAAGCTTCAGAGTGTCTGGGGAAATGGAGGGGCTGCTCCCAGCATCTACCGCTTGAGGTGGCTGCCTCATTCTACCTAAGGACAGAATGAGATGGGGTGGTGGTGGATTGTGCCAATAAATAAATAAATAAATAAATAAATAAAACTGTTGATGAGTGAAATAGTGCCTTCCATGGACCTGAATAGGCAAAACAGTCTGTTGCTCAAACAGGAAGCTGGTCGTATTGGTCTATTTAAAGAAATGCACATTCAGAAGCCGATTAACTTAATGTACTATTGTTTCCAATATGAAGCATTTATTCACTCATGCTGATATCTGAAAACAAAAGCAAATGTGAAGAAGCATTCTACATGAAATTAAATACATGTGTAGTGTAATCACAATAGCTAGAAACAACATGTTACATTTTAATTTACACTTCTAAAACTGCTCATCGGTTAAGCATTTTATTACAAGTCCGGGTATCTTGGCACTTATTTGCATCCACTGTGTAATTAAGGCAGCGCTCCAAAGAAATGACAAATGGTGCACCGAACAGGAGTAATTATTCTTATTTATTTACATTGGGTTAGGAAGACAAATACCAATTATGATGAAGGTAGCACCATGCCAGCTAGTTAACAAATAGAGGAATGCTTTCTGTACAGTAGAATATGCACTCTCTTAATCTCCTCAGAAGACCCATCACCACAACACAAAATCGTAGCTCCAGGTCATACATTTTTTAAAGCCCCTTAATTCAGTTCCTGTTAGTGTGTAGCCACATAGGCAAATAAAGGGTGCACAGGAATGCACATATTTGTGAAAATAACACACACAAATGCATTATATTAATGGAAATTTATTTACAGTGAAGTGTATACAGTGGTACCTTGGGTTACATATGCTTCAGGTTACAGACTCCGCTAACCCAGAAATAGTGCTTCAGGTTAAGAACTTTACTTCAGGGTGAGAACAGAAATTGTGCTCCGGCGGCACGGCAGCAGCAGGAGGCCCCATTAGCTAAAGTGGTGCCTCAGGTTAAGAACGGACCTCCGGAACGAATTAAGTACTTAACCCAAGGTACCACTGTAATACACAAAAATGCATGTGAACATGTGCAGGTGGATTTTCATGAGGACTTTGGGGGAAAATCAAAAACTGATATGGAAATGTGGAGAACTGAATTTAAGCTTGTTAAAATGAGGAACTGAAGGAAACCAAAACTGACAAATTCTCTCATCCCTTCCACACACTCCTGCTTTTCACCCCAGTCACCTTATTGCTTTCTATTCTGCCCCTTGCAATCCAAACCAGCGAGTGGAATTTGACGGAAAATATCCATGCATGCTTCTTTTTGTTTTGGTCCATCCTCTCAAACCCTCCTCCCCAGTTGGTTTCCAAGATTAAGCTGCTGTTTGTTTGTTCCATTCTAAAACAAACAAACAAACAAATCCCACCTCTGCAATTCTAATTTAACAGAATTACACAAGATCTGTAACTGTTGCTCTGAGTGTGTGTTGGGGAATGCCTGTGCCAATCTTTCAGTCAATTAGGATAATATCTATTAAATTATTTTCAGGGGTAAAGGTTAAAACAACAACAGCAACCCACACCTTTCCTTCAGTTGTCAGATGTTTGGGCATTGATGACATGGTCTGAAACACATTAGGGGAGTATTGTTGACACCTCTTCCTCCATGAGTAGTTCCTGTGGAAAGCCCACAAAATATCTTCTAGCAGGATTGGGCCACAGTGATAAAATATGCCTCCTACAGATTCCATTAACTTTGCTTTGAACAAATAAGATTACATGGGAAGACCATAATGAATGTGTTGGAGCATTCAAGGGAACCTGTGGTAAAGAAGGAGTCCAAAGAAATTAGAACCCTGGTGTATGCCACAAATTTAATGTTGAACACATGTCCTATTATCTTCTTGGATGCTTCCTTTGCTTCAGTTCCAAATATTCTGCTTACTTACAGTGTTTATTTCAGAAGTTCTTGTTTACTTTTTTAATTTAGAGGGGGGTCCATGAAAAACAAATGCATCCTGCAACACCCTAGAAGATCTGATAAAGGTAAAGGGACCCCTGACCGTTAGGTCCAGTCACAGACGACTCTGGGGTTGCAGTGCTCATCTCGCTTTACTGGCCGAGGGAGCTGGCATACACCCTCCAGGTCATGTGGCCAGCATGACTAAGCCACTTCTGGCGAACCAGAACACCGTTTACCTTCCTGCCGGAGCTGTACCTACCATATTTTTTGCTCCATAAGACACACCTGACTAGAAGACGCACCTAGTTTTTAGAGGTGGAAAGGGGGAAAGCCCTGTTTTTTGGGGGATCAGCTCACAGTTGTGCAACTTCTTTTGCAAAGGGGAAAAATCCTGTTTTTATGGGGTTCAACTCACAGTTTTGCAGCTTCTTTAGGAAAGGAAAGGGAGCCGTTTCTACAGTTTCTAGACAGATAATCTAATCAGCCAGTCACATGTCGCTGGGGAAACAAACAGCCTCTGTCTGCAGAACATTCAACAATGGAGGCCTGGGCAAGGGGGCGGGGCCAGAAAGGGAGCCAGCGATTGACCACACATTCACTCCATAAGACGCACAGACATTTCCCCTTACTTTTTAGGAGGAAAAAAGTGCATCTTATGGAGCGAAAAATACGGTATTTATCTACTTGCACTTTGACGTGCTTTTGAACTGTTAGGTTGGCAGGAGAAGGGACCGAGCAATGGAAGTTCACCCTGTCACAGGGATTTGAACCACTGACCTTCTGATCAGCAAGCCTTTGGCTCTGTGGTTTAACCCACAGCGCCACCCGAGTCCTAAGAAGATCTGATAGTAATATCTTAATTTCTGATATTCTGTAACTAAAAACTTGCACAACTATTTGTGGAGGGTATGTGATATCCAATAACATGATGCTGTTGTAACTGCAACCAAGTGAGAACAGGGCCAACCTGAAAGATGTTTTCTAATGAACAAACTCTTAAATTGGAAGTTATACTGTAGAATCATGAAATAATTCCCTTTTGTGTGTGTGATTTACAGCTGTGAGTAAATCCTTCTAATTATTCCAGAGCTTTCCTTGTAATCACAGACTAATCCCATTTATATGCTTCTGGGGTTAAAAAGCAAAAAAAACAACAACCCAAAAACCAATGAACCCCACCAGTGTATAAAGATTTAGATATACAAATTGAAGGTTTCATGCTGTAATCCATAGATCGGGAGGGAGGGATTGTTTATCTTTTGTTCTGTGTGAAGCACTTTGGCTTGTGGCTTCTAGATAATTGTGTCTATAACCTTAAACCAAAAATAAGACAGACAAATAAGTCAATCTTTGACGCTTCCCAAAAAGACCGTGCCATCTGGATGTTTTGGATTCTTAACAGGTGCTTCTGGGACTTTGAGCCTAATTCTTGGCCCAGATTCCAAAGCATGATGGGTGACTCTGTAGCTATGTGCAATTGTGCACTGCATTAATTGAAGAGATTGGAAGTGGCCAAGAATAGTAATTAGTCAGTTGGTCATGCAGAAAAAGAGAGCAGTGGCTTCAAGCCACAGTGTTGGAGGCACAGATGGGCCAGACCATCAGCTCTTGCTCTCCGTGGTACCCAGCTAATCTATTGCAGATCAAGCAAACAGTCCATCTTCATCCAGGTACTCAGCTTGTTGAAATCAACAACATAAATTTCAGAAGCCACTGGGGAAAGAAATCACTGGGGTTGAAAGCCTTTAAAACCAAACACACCCACCCACCCCGAAAAATACCAAGCCATGTCAGCGCAACATTATTAGGGTTGGAAAAGCACCAAAGAAGCCAAATGTTAATATGAAATTACCGTATGTCTGTATGTAAAAATAAAACTGAGGAACATTTTAAAATGCTCTTTATATTGTGCATCAGTTGCATGTTGTGTTTGTGTGTGCTCTTGCAAGCACACGTTGTGCATGAAATTATACTATGAAGATAAAAATCACTTTGTCTAGGCAGCAAGTTTTAATTGCATAAAAGGTACCCTGGTTTTGGGGTAAGTGGGTCAAAGCACACTGATGGTGTAGCTTACTTTCTGCTGCTTCACTGCCAAATCATAAAAATCATAGAATTGTAGCATTTGAAGGGACCCCGAGAGTCATCTAGTTCAACTCCTGCAATGCAGCAATCACAGCTAAAGCATTTAAGACAGATGGCGACCCAACCTCTGCTTAATAACCTCCCATGAAGCAGAGTCCATCACCTTTCGAGGAAGCCTGTTCCACTGTCAAATAGCTTACTGTCAGAAAGTTCTTCCTGGTGTTTAGCCAGAATCTCCCTTCTTGTGACTTGGATTCATTGGTTCAAGTTATTTTCCATAATCTGAAAGGTCACTCTTTCTTCCAACATGGGTGAGGGATAGCGTTTCACTTTTTATATGCTCTCGCTTATGGAATAACAAATTTGTACACATATATCAATATTGTACTCACAGATGTGTCCACTTAGTTCCTTAATATTCTTGGAAAAAGTTCATTGCCAAGATTTTGCAAGGAGAATTCATTAGTCTGGATGGGACAAAAAATAGTTTTGTTTTGTTTTCTCCTCCTCAGTTTCTGCTTATTATTATTATTGGGGTGTCAAAACAGCTATAAGACCCTAATTGTGAATGATAGCCTGTTGTTCTTTTTAAAGGCTAGCTAAGATGCCCTACAAGGGACGCGGGTGGCGCTGTGGGTTAAACCACTGTGCTGCTTGGGCTTGCCACTCGAAAGGTCAGCGGTTTGAATCCCCGCGACACGGTGAGCTCCCGTTGCTCTGTCTCAGCTCCTGCCAACCTAACACCAAAATGCAAGTAGATAAATAGGGACCACTCCGGTGGGAAGGTAAACGGTGTTTCCGTGCGCTGCTCTGGTTTCAGTGTTCCGTTGTGCCAGAAACGGCTTAGTCATGGCCGTTTGCCCAGAAATGTACAAAGACAAGGAATGTTCTTACCGTCTGCTTTTTATTCAGTATTTACAGAGAGATGCTTTAGAACCCAGCCTCTTGGATAATGGCATTCTCCCGAGTCAAGCTCCACACACACACCCGGCTCTCCCACTTCCTCATTCGTCATCACCTCTATGGGTACTGACAAGTGCCCTCTGCCTTTGAGCTCTTTGCTCTTCTACTTTCAAGGCCCTCCGTGTTCTGGGGGGGCAGTCTGGAATGCTTTCTAAAGACACTGTGTCCATCAGCTGTCACCCCCGTGGTGATTCCTCTACCTCCTCCTCCTCTCCCATTGTTTCCCAACTTTTCACCTCATCTGCATCTGAGCTGTGACCTCCCTCAAACCCCTGTTGTAATTCTGAACTGTCTTCCTCTTCTCTGGAAGGGTTGGGCTGGGGAGGCAGTCTCCATCATTCCCCCTCTGCCCAGTCCCTGACAGACATTGAATTACACCCCACTCCCAATGTAAAAATCTGGTAGTGGCTTATGTAGGCGCACCACAGAGCTTCCCACCTGTGCTTCTTGGCCACCATGCAGTATAGGGATACAATCAGAATTTTGTATAACAATGTAGAGATGTTTCACCTTCTCACAGAGAAGAATTCTGGGAAACAAAACATAACAGAGCTATCCTGTCCTGGAATGTTGCTAACATGGTAATCATGGAACAATGATATAAACATAGCAACTGTGGAAGCTGGCAAACAGAGAAAACCAAGAATACAATCCCGTTGTTTGGTCCCAGTTCCTGCCAACCTAGCACTTCGAGAGCACGCCAAAAAGTGCAAGTAGATAAATAGATACCACTCCAGGGGGAAGGTAAATGGTGTTTCCGTGTGCTGCTCTGGTTTCGGTGTTCCGTTGCACCAGAAGAGGCTTAGTCATGCAGGCCACATGACCCAGAAAAACTGTCTGCGGACAAACATCGGCTCCCTTGGCCAGTAAAGCGAGATGAGCGCCGCAACCCCAGAGTCGTTCGCGACTGGACTTAACTGTCAGGGGTTCTTTACCTTTAAAAAGGTAAAGGTACCCCTGACCATTAATTCCAGTCGCAGATGACTCTGGGGTTGTGTGCTCATCTCGCTCTATAAGCCGAGGGAGCTGGCGTTTGTCCGCAGACAGCTTCTGGGTCATGTGGCCAGCATGACTAAGCCGCTTCTGGCGAACCAGAGCAGCGCACGGAAATGCCATTTAGCTTCCCGCCAGAGCGGTACCTATTTATCTACTTGCATTTGACATGCTTTTGAACTGCTAGGTGGGCAGGAGCAGAGACCGAGCAATGGGAGCTGACCCCGTCACGGGGATTCGAACCGCTGACCTTCTGATCGGCAAGCCCTAGGCTCTGTGGTTTAGACCACAGCGCCACCCGCGTCCCTCCTTTACCTTTATTCTATTAAAAATGCTTTGTATGGTTTGTCATAACCAACATTTAGCACACATTTTAAATATGGGCTTAAATTCTGTTCTGTGATACCTGTTCTGTGACATATGCCTGTGCTTCCACAGAGAGAGATATAAAGATGAATTAGAATTATTTCAGCATGTTCTCACACGTCCATCACTGACATTTGGATCGTGTACACATGCACTTCACTGATATGTCTGCACATGCGTCTAGTTCACATCAACACAATCACTATGAAATGATTGCAGCATTCCAAGATAACTTCCGTTTATGAGAAGGCCATCACAGATCCTACACAATTGTTAGGACTTATTATTAACACACAAAGCTTCTTAGTAGATTTAGGGCATTTCCAGACCGTTGCTGTTTTTCAGTGAGATTCAGTCACATACTGGCAAATTCAAGTGGTGCAATTAAAGATGATTTGGAGCTCTTGTACAACAATCTCACGTCTAAGACAAGTATCCTACTTTTTGCAAAAAGGAAAGAGAGAGGAGAATGCGTTGGGAAATGTAGGGTGATGTTTGCTCAATGCAGTAGCATTGAACCTCCACACGAACAGAATGAATTCTCAATAAATAACTGACATCATTTAGCCCCTCTGCAAATTTTGTGCAAACCAATGGGGGATGGCTGCTCAATAAACAGGTCATCTGGAGGCGACCTTGGTTCATGTGATTAGCATTTCAAACTAAATGGGTGAACTGGTGCGATGGAGAAATGGTACATTTGAAGTGAGGTGAGGGGACACCACATCTGTGGTAGTTGATCTGCAGTCGTTCTGTCAGCCCATCAAGACATCAACTGGCTGGTGAACATGTCTCTTAAACTGCCAAAGGATAGACCTGCCTTAAGCTCTTATGTCATATGCAAATTTGTCTCCACTGAAAAGTTCCCCTTGGATACCATTATGAAGACCCCAAATTATTGCCTCATGGAGGTTGCCAGTGTGTAATGACATCACTTTGGGCCACTCAACATCACATTTTCAGCTCCAGTCGCCAAAGGTTATTAGGCAACAAATTGACTTGAGACTAGTATATCGGTAAGTGCTATCTGATCATGAAAATATACATTTTGGGGCATGGAATCTGATAAAGTGGAAAAGCCCCAAAGGATTCCCAACAGATTATATTACCCATTCTCCATTTTAAAGCTGTTTAGGGCTGTGACTGATGAAATAGCAAGTTCCATGAGACGCTGAACATATGAAGCTCCTTTATAGTTAATTAGGCTGTGTTAATCTTGTAGTAACACTTCTGGAAACAGAAGAAGGTGTTCACACAATTTTAATGGATAATGTTTCACAAATTGGGAGTCCTGGAGTCTGGATACCCACAGAGGTTTTAACTGTCAGACATTTGGTCTAGTCAAGTATTATCTCTTCTGACTTGAGACAGCTCTCCCAGGTTTCAAGCAAAAGTCTTCCCCAGTCCCACTACTTGAGAGTCTTTTAACAGGGATTGAACCTGAGGACATTGTATGAGCAGACCACGGGCTCTGCTCCCTATATATGGGCCCTGGCATGGGCTTCCAAGAAAACATTTTATGTTCAGCCTGTTAGTTTCAGTGAAATCAATAGACTTGTGGAAAGAGCAAGTGTGATTGTGAATTAGGTTTGTTTCTGTTCTGTATAAAGTTTCCAAAATGAATGTAATTTGCCTAATTTTGGATTACTTGCCTTCTTCCTGTAGTTGTTTTCATTGACACTTCACATTACTTTCAGTCTGATGAACTAGTGGATTCAGCAGACTGAATGAAGCCCCTGCCCTGGGGGATGAAATGCTAGAATCCAAGGATGGAAAATATTTAAGCAAGAGTAGCTCTCATCCTTTGACATGCTCCTCTACCTACCTGTCCTACCAGAGACAGCTAAACCAATCACTCCGGGGTGAGAACCAAATCCTTTGGGAAAAGAACAGGACTATTCGCAAAGACAACAAGACTTTCCGTATGGAAAACAAAGCTATTCGTGAACAGAATTGTACTCTCCAAGACGCAAACAATATTGACTGGGAGGAGGGCAGTGTCCTCAAGGAGAACAAACTGGACGCTATGGATGAGGGAAAATCACTTGAGGAACAGGAAAAGGCTCTCCGAAAGCAGAATAAGGCTCTACGAGAAGAGATCAAATCCCTCCAGGAGCAGGATGTGGCCTTCAAAATGGAAGAGAAGGCTCTTCAAGAGGAGCTCACTGCTTTGTGGGAGGAGAACAAGGCCTTCCAAGAACAGATCAAGGCTCTCAGGGAGAATAGTGCTGCTCTCCTAGAAGAGGAAAAATGTCTCCATCAAGAGAGGCGAGCCCTCCAAGAAGAAGAAGCTGCCCTCCAGGAAGAGAACAAAGCTCTTAGAGAAGAAAGGAAAGCTCTTGAAGAGGAGGATAAAGCCCTGAAGGAAGAGAATGAAGTTCTGCAGCAGTGGAAGACGCTCCTCCAAGGAAGCCTCAGTGTGCAGATAGAAGGGCAGGGAGCCCTGATCTGAATATTCAGCCAAGAAACATGTGGTTCTTCTGGCATACTGGTTAAAAGGGAGAGAGCGACCCCAACAAGCTAAAATAATTGTGCTACAGGTATTTACCAAGAATTAAGCATTAATATGCACTAAAACAACTTGATGTCTGCAGCCTTAATTCCAAAGGTTGTTAATAAATGTCATGGACATCATTTATTTGTAAGATTTCTTTTCTAATTGTGCTTCATTTAATTTCAAGACCAGTAAAAATCCTCCCCGATTGCCACATTCCCACCCTCCATCATGTAATTGCCCCTTGCTAGCATCCATGTGTTTATTTCCTTCCCTTTTCTACTTTTTGACTCTTCAGCAAAACAGCAACCCTTAAGTGAATGCTCCAACATATTTCTTAGGCATGGCTTGGTTTATAGAAATGATATATTCATTTGAATGTTTTTTTCCCCCCAGTCCCATCCCAAAGAATACGGGCAGGTGGGTTGCAACATCCATGTAAATAAACTCACCAAAGTTCTTAATCTGGTCTTAGTCCTCCTCTTCCAGCCTGTTGCCCTTCTGATACAATCGTTGATTCCAACATAATTTAAAAGACCGGTCAAGCCCTAATGTTACTTACCTCAAAGTAATTTCAATGGTGCCCATTGAGGCATTATCCTAAATAGATGTGTACTGGATTTCAGGGGAAAATATGGAACTCTAAAACAATAATATACGAAAATATCACTTTCCAATGCTCCAAAAACCTGCCTAAGATAGCTCTCCATTTGGGGATGTTAAGAAGAGGTTATGAAGATGTGACATTAAACCTCAGTGTGCATTACAAGTGACCTTATGAATTATGTCAGAAATAAGCAATGCAGAGTTCAGTGCAGCTTACCCCTTGGAAAATACATATAAGATTGTTGTGAAGCTGATATTAATAACCTGGCCATTATAATTTTGTTGCCTTCATATTCTGCTTCTAAGCTTCTCAGAGGCACCTTCAGAAATGAAATGCTGGAATATCTGGACCTGTTGTGTGATCCAACAAAGGCAGTTTCTACAGCATTATTTAGACTTCTATAAAATTTGATTCTATAGAAAATATTTTCCAGCTACCAAGCTTTTAAATAATGAACAAGCACTGCATTCTAATTAGACTTCATGAATTAATATGATGAAATTTACTTTCACATAGGGAAATTAATTACTTTCCATAAATACATTAGTAAATTATCATGCATTATTGGGAAATTTAAATGTGATTAACGGCACTTAAAAATGATCTGCTTATTTCCTGTGAATAATTAAGCTAAAACTTTGTTCTCAATATATTTACAGGGACAATATACACAAGTGTATTCATTTAGCAGTTTGATAAAGTTTGCCCAATAAAATAACAATCTCAAAGTTTTAGAAATATGCAAAGATGTTATCCATAATTGGGCAAATGTTTTGGGAAACATAAAGAAAGCACAGATTTTAGCTGCCCACATTGCTCATTTGAGCACACCTGCTAAAACATTGTTGTGAGTTCCACTGCCATCATAGACATGGCTGTCCTCTGCTATCTTTCTACAAAGTGTCCCCCATGCTTGTAGAATTTGCAGCCCCAAGAGCTCATCTTTCCAATTAAAACCGTTATATTTAGGGATGGAGGAACTGTGGCCCTTCAGGTGCTGCTGGACATAAATCTCCCATCAGGCAATAGTAAAGGATAGTAGGAGTTGGAATCCATCCAAATCGGAAGTGCCACAGAGATAAGCATTTGACTTGGAGACATATCTTAAGGGGCTCTGGAGTCTATGCGATTTCTGCTGCTGCTACATATATTGAATTATTGCATAAATTATGTGTGCTTGGAATGGGGTGTTTATTGTGCTTTTTATTGTTTTACTCCTCTTTTTATTATGATGCAATTGGAATATTTGAAGACCCAAGGCAGAGGGAAAATGCTGTCCAGAGAGAATTAGCTGTATTAGAGAATTTGACCTGCTTCACCTAAATGGGTTTCCTATAAGGTCAAATGACAATTGAATCATAATGAATTTACACAATGGCCTTTCCATTCCCCTCCGCTGTATGACTGGACACAGACATGGCATCTGATATGAGGGTTGCAAGGGTTATGTAAGGCAAAATGTATTTATCTGCTCCTCACAAATAGAATAATTATCCGAGTCAAACAACATAATAATTGATTCATATTTTAATAAGAAAAGTCCTCTATAAACTGAGCAACATTTACAAGAGCACTATGAGTTGAACTATTTGGTGTTTGTCATCCACCCAGCATTACTGCTTGATGATCAGGTAACATCTGTGGCCAGGAATATCTTTTTCCTGCTTTCTCTGTACACCAGCTATGGCCCTACTGGGACAATTAGTTTCTAGGCTCCATTCAGAGTCCTGGCTTTGAATTCAAAATCTAAAACAGTCTGTGTCCCTAGTATCTGGAGGAGTGCGTCCCCCTTTGTGTCTCCTCTCATGGCTAAAAAAACCACACACATCCTGAACTCTGATATTCAGTAAGAAGTTACCAGGTCCAAAGCCTTCTTAGTGATGTACACAAGGCATATCAAGACAGGCCTGTTTAACTGACTCTCTCTTGCCCTGCATAAAATCTGTTGTCCTTTAAGGGGTTTTGACTTCTGCAGTTGGAATAATCTGTTGTTGTTTTTTTAATATGAACTCTGCTAGCTAGCATGTCTTGTGCTGAGATTTACAATTGTCAGTCTTTACAGATGTTTTGTATTGTTTTATGGCAGGGATGGGGATCCTCTAAGCCTTGCTATCTGGTCCTTGGGATGAACCTCAGGGAACCTCCCCCCCTCCGGGCCACATCCCACAGCCACCTGGCTTCCGTGGCTGGAAGGTGCTCTTGAACTCTGATCCTGCTTGCCTAGATAGTGAATCGAGGGCAGAGTGAGATCTGGAAACTAGTCAAAGGTGAAAGGCACGTTTGTTGCTCTGCCCACTATTGCCTCAAAAATCAATATTTCTCCGTAGCTGCAAGTACCGTATTTTTTGCTCCATAAAGCGCACCGTACCATAAGGCGCACCTAGTTTTTAGAGGGGGAAATCAAGGAAAAAAATATTATTTCCCCCCCAGCCCCAAAGAGCAGCAGAGAGGCTGCGTGCAGCCTGTCCACTTCTCCCAGAGCTTCTCAGGGCTGCCGGGGGAAGCCCGGGCCCCCAGCCCCAAAGAGCAAAGAAGGCAAGACAGCAAGCGGGATCCATCCCACTGCCTGTCTTGGCTTCTGCCATAGCCGTGCACAGCCTCTCCCGGCTGGAGAGGTTGCGTGCGGCTAAAGAGGAACCCAAGACAGCCAGCGGGATGGATCACGCTCGCTGTATTGGCTTCTTTAGCCGCGCGCATCCTCTTGGGCCGGGAGAGGCTGCGTGCGGCTATGGCAATTCCCCCACCTCCCGCAAAAGCCCACAGGAGCTGCGTACCCTTTAAGGAGCGCGCGGCTCCTGCGGGCTTTTCTACCAGGAGGGAGAAGGGACTGACTGGCCACGTCAGACCCTTCTCCCTCCTGGGGAAAAGCCCGGAAGAGCCACGCGGAGTTTGTGTGTGGTTCTTGGGGGCTTTTCCTGCCTGCCTCCCCACTGCATTTGCTCCATAAGACGCACATACATTTCCCCATACTTTTTAGGAGGGGAAAAGTGCGTCTTATGGAGCGAAAAATACGGTATGTCATTTTCATTCCTTAATACAAAATTGATGCCTATCCATTGTGGCCCCTGAAAATTTGTCCAAAAGGGAATGTGGCCCTCAAGCTGAAAGAAATTCCCCACCCTTCTTTTACAATCAACTTGGGCAAGTGCCAATTCAACAAATAAACAAAATGATACAATGCAGCAGAGTGTTGCTAAATAATTGTTAACATTGTCTCACAAAGCTTTGCAGGCCTGCAGCAACAAAGACAATCCTAATTTTGTTTGTTTGTTTGTTTTTAAAAAGATTTTCTGTTGATAAATAACTGGGGTCCATCTCAAATTGATTTCAGCTCCTCCGTCCAAATTTTGTTACATAAACTGCTTGGTCTGAAGGCAAATTAAAGACACACAACCTGTTAGCATATATCTGTGGAATGCTCTGCCAATAGAGATTCAGCAAGAACCTTCTGTTTCAACCTTTAAACACCTGCTGAAAACTTTTCTATGCCCCCTGGCTTACACCAGCAATTAATAGATACATATTTCCATCATGGTTAGTTGATGGCCTCTGATTTTAATTTTTATGTTTTGGTTATTATATATAGATATTATTGTAAACCTGTTTGGTATTATTATAATATAGCAGCATATAAACATTTAAAATAAAATAGATACGCACATGTTTATTTTGTTTCTGGTAGACTAGAAACCTAGCTGGAAAAGGAATGAAATTAATCTTACGGCGGCGTTAGCGAACTAGAGTGATATTGCCCAGCTCATATGGGTTTCCTTACACTAGAGGTCATTCCACACCTAAGTCTTAAGCAGCCCAAGTTGGGTCGTGATATTTCCATCACTTTCTTTGCTTCTGCTTTCCTTGAAGCTTCTATGAATATGAGCTTGACAAGGGGATTTAGGAAATTATCCTTGGCTTTCAGCCCAGGCTGCTTACTCAAATCTAACCCTGCTGGTGGTGAATCTGGGCATAGATCCAGAAATAAGCACTTTAATTGGAAGCCAGGCACTTAACAGCAATTCTGCACGGTAATGCTGCTTCAGTTGCAGATCCCTCCAATGCAATTGTACCCGGTGTTAAAGTCAAACGGATGCCTCCTGTCAGCCTTGCTAGTGATACCTTCTGAGTAATCCTGTACCCTTCAGCAGTTGAGCAGCAATCTCTTGTTTAGTTTGGCAATCCTTTCGCTGTTAATTTTTCATTAGGAAAACAAGATCAGGCTTTTGGCTTGCACAATTGTCTGAGAAAGAAGGACCAAAGCCAATACTGTAATTCTGTAAGATTTTGTTCAAGGAATCAAATGCCTTTTTCTTAGGTGAGGTATCTGTGATCAGTGGCGTCGCAAGGTGGGGGCGGAGGGGCGGTGTGCCCCATGTTCCATGTCTGGGGGTGGTGACAAGAAGGCACCTGCCACCTGGCCGAGGCGCAGCAGCGCGAGCAGCCATTATGGCGGTGCAGCCGCGTGTGGATGATCCTCCGTTTGCAGCTGGAGCCGCGAGCAGAGGAGCCTGCCATCATCCATACGGCTCTCAGGAGGCGCCGGCGGTGA